GGACAGAGCAAGATATCTACACCCTGGGGAAGGTTCCACTAGAAAATCTGGTCTCTGCCCAATTGCCCCAAAGAGCATTTCCTCTGAGGTCACAGTATTTGTCCCCAAAGTTCTGTAAGATTTTGGCATTTTTTCAGTTTACATAATCAATGCAGCTGCAAAAAAAAATCCCAATAAAACAGAAGAAACATACAAATGAACGCCTTGAAGCAGGGTTTGGGGCCAGGGGCCGTCCCGGGCACACAGGATGCCTAACAGCATCCATGATCTCCACCCACTAGATGCCAGTAGCAACCCGCCACCAGTTATGCCCATCAGAAATGTCTCCAACCATTGCCGCATGTACCCTGGGGGCACAGTTGCCCCTAGCTGAGAACCAGTGCCTTAGAAGTTAACAGTAGTAACTCCTTGAAATTGCTCTAGCAAAGAAGTTTTGGAATATAGCATAGGACCTTCTCTATGTGAAGGACTAAAGAGCAAATATTTTTTGCTTTGAGAGCCACATGCCATCTCTGCCTCATAGTCTTGTGTTTTTGTTTTGTTACAATTTTTAAAAAAATTTAAGAACTCCTTCTAAGCTCGAAAATAGGCTGGGATTTGCTAATCCTTATATTGTGGAGAAGGAAATGATGGGTGGTTGCCATAATGATTGAAAGTGCTGAGACAGTATTTGGAAAAACGGGGGTCATGATCCAGCTACCAAGGCTTCGTGACTCTGAGCTAGCAATGCCGCTGCCCTTCTTGGAAAACCGGAATTGCATAATTCCAAGTTAAATTCTATTAATCCTATTTTGCGCCTTTAATTCTACTTAATGTATTTCAACATAAAACATTTAAATAAAATAGACACTCAGTATTTCAACAAAATGGGATTCCCCAGAAAGTGGGAGAATGTATAGTAAGGATGTGTCCTTCCCTTGGTTTGGAATAAAATATCTTATGTGGTTCCTCTTAATAAGAGGACATTGTGCAAAGGCAGTGCCCCTACCCAAGTTCAAAATTGAGATATGGTTTGATGTGACTACAGAGGGTAACAAGGAAGGAAAAGTGGCATTTTGGAAAAAACAGGAAGCCTAGAAACTACCTGTAAAGTTGTAAAAAGAAAAATGCCATGTTGAAAATATATTTGAAAGTGGTTTCTATGGAATTTTCTTTACCCATCACATCTATGTCTGCGTAAAGCAGGGCAGGTCTACTCCACAAGTATTGATCGAGGGTGCCAGGAACGGTGTGAGGCAGCGGGGTTCCATCCACCTGAACCCGACCCAAACACGAAATAGCCGCGTTTAATCATCCAGATTTTTTTCCAGTAAAATATTCGATCTTTCTATCTTTGTATATTGCTAATTATAAATATTTTATGTTTTCCTTTGGGCATTTAGTTTCTATATGTGGATTTTCATTGACACCAGGAAGAATCAGTCAAGAGAATGTTCTTATAATCCAATTACCACTGTTAGAAAAATAGCATGGGAGGGCCAAATATACTTCATTTGTACATGTGCATTTTCAGTCATTCAAGTAGTTTATGATATGGGAGGCAGTAAATTATAATGAAAAGAGCACTGTGCTGGGAGTCAAAAACCCTGGGTCCCACTCCTGGTTTTGTCCTTGTTTTTTTCCATGGACAAGCCGGTTAATTTCTAAAGAGCAGTTTCCTCATCTGTAAAATGGGCACACAGCACTTTCCTGCCTACCTTGAGACCTTTACTATATTTAAACATTTTATATGTTTATACTTGATAAAGTGCTATAAAGGTGATAGCATTATTATAAGGACTGGGCTAAACTGGCTCTGCACTCTACACGGATGATTCTCGAAGAAATCAAGTATCGTTTTAGTCACAGCCCAGATCAATTATCAACATCACCTTCTTACACTTCATTTTAGGTGATGAGGAAGAAACATATCTATAAAAGCTCGTGAGGTACTACCTGGAAATTTGCTCTGAGAGCAATATCGTAGATTTTCTGTTAAAATATGATAATGAGCTGAATCTAATCTTCTAGTGAAATGAAGACTTTTGAAGATCAACATTTATTTAAAGAGGTTCAGAAATTAATGGTTGATCCCTTAGCAGGACCATCAGGCTCCACCCACTTTCACCCATATAGCCTTTAGAGGATCCATTGAGAGGCAGAGTCACCCCTCTCCTGGTTTGGGGTCAGATTCTATGCTGCAGAGTTAGAGGAAGGGAATCATGTCCTTTGCACAAATTTGAGAAAACTCCTCCAAACCAGATCAGCTGGATTTTCAAACATGGGTTATTTTTTTCTGTGATACTCTCAATTATCTTTAAAAAAAAAATCAACCTGGGTTTTTCTTTTTTGTCATCATCCTTTCCCAGTCTAGTTTTGATCAGAAAGGAGCTGGACCAATATCCCAAGAAGGACTGCCTTCACTGAATAGGTACAAACGAGTACTATGAGGAGTAGACGACACAGCCCTGCAACTTACTTCCTCCAGTTTTTGTAGCGGGGCCTGAGAAAGCCTCAGACCCTGCTTATGCTGTGACCACTTTACTTGAATGCGATGCTATAAAACAGGCAGGGGCTGGCTGGTGTTGTGTACAGTGTTAACTGTCAGTGCTATTCCTGATGCCAGCAACAGAGTATTAGAATAACACTAGTAAGGCCAGAAACACCGACTCTCACTCCTAATACCTTTTGTAAAGGGCAAGTCTTCATCAATCTCTAAAGGAAAAGAAAAGAAAAAAAGTGCTCCTTCCCACACTTTACATTACCATGACTACTGAAGGTCCGTTTTTTTCTGCCCTCAGGCTGAGACCTACCAAATATAGGGGTTGGATGTAGAAAGAAAAAAATGGATATATAAACCGAAGGCAATCCCCTCAGTTTCCTAAGTCTGAGTTTTTATAAGCTCTTTGAATTTATTTGACTAGAGAGCCATCAGCTAGAAATGAATTCTGACCACTATTCAACTTGGTTTTGATTTTCCCCAGACACCTCAAACATGAAAAACCATCCCACTTCTTAAAACAATGAATTCAGAAGACCGCTGCCCTTTAAAGTTGCCCTTTAGACATGGAGGCGAAGCCAGCCTGCTCTCTCTCTCCCACTTTCTCTTATCATATGGTTTTCTGTCTTGAACAAACCAAAACCAAACAGGAGAAACAATCCAGTTGGGGAGATATCTGATGTGCCTGTTGATGTCTCATTAACCTTGAGAGTGAATGTAACTGCTGACTGCTTTCACGGTCACGGTGGCGTGAGGGTTTGTTGGGGGGAAAACAAAGCCAGTGGAAACATCACCTGGTGCGGGGGTGGGGGGGTGTGGAGGGGCAGATACAAAGAGAAACATGGTTTAGTAGCTCATCTATCAAAACCTGGGGCAGCTTTCCAACTGTCAGAACTGGGTAGATTATGGTTTCCTTAAGCCTATGATGAAACTACTATGTGTTTTCTTGAGAAAGCATTTGGAGCAGTATTTATCTGTGTGTCAAAATATGTTCACTGAATTACTGGGGGGGGGACGCTTGATGTTTGAAGTATTATCATGAGAAAAGCAAACATCTCCGGATTAATGTTACTAAGGTTCTGTGATGAGTATGTGTGATATGTGTGTGCCATTAAAAATATCATGAGCCGCCCAATGTGGGAAGGTCCTAACTCCACTGAGTCCTGAGTCAGGTTCTCCTCATTACTCATTGCTGATTGATAACATGTCAACAAATAGAGGGACGGAAATATAGAAAAATTAGCTTGTCTCTAGGGATAGAAGGTTACCTGTAGAGGAAAACAGAAGGAAAGAGTCCCTCAGGTTCACTGGCTGACTCCCCTTGGGATAAGAAGACTAGAAATCCAAGGAGCCTCTAATCGCAGATCCAGACCAGAGACCCACAAAGCAGCACTTGCAGGCCCTCTGCCCCGGGGCTCCAGCGGGGACTGGTTCCTCTCTGCCCTCCCCAGAGGAGCATCTTAAGTAAACAAGCCACAGAATTCCCACCAGGGACGTGGATGGAACGTTCCCACCTATTTTTGCTTGACTCTCCCAAGGTCTCCACTTTTCCATCTCTAGTCCCCACTCCTCTACTTTTCTTGGAACTTCCTGAAAGTTCCTCACTTTTCATAACAAATCCCCACCTCAGGCTGAGGACACAACCTGTCTGCCAGCGTCACCCTCTAAACAGCTGCTTGGTTTCCTGTGCTCTTCTCAGGGCCACACAACCTGGCTTCAGTCCTCACCCTTCTGGATCTGCCCCTCACCCTCATGCCCAAATGTACCCACAGAAAAGTGGATCAGTCGGATCCCTCTTTTCCCAGAGAAGTTTGTACATTTCAGAGGAGAGGAGCTACTGGGAAAGATGAAATAACTGTGAATTACAAACATCACTTCCTAACCTAGAAGACTGAGATGGCTTCCTCGCTCTGGGGGAGAGGGCAGCAGGGCAGCCCCTGTCCTCGCCAGGGACCACACTTCTTTCTGGGTGGGTGGGAGGTGTGTTCCTTACCGTCCCACCTCACATTCCTCTGCTCCCTCACAGCCCCTTCGAGCAGCCTTCCCCCAAACACTCCGGGGGCCAGAGGAAGGGAGAGAAAAGGGGAGAAAGTGGAGAAGGGTCTCTGAATTTCCCCAAGCATAGTATTTTGCTGTCAACTAGCAGGACTTTCCAGACCATCTTTTCTTGATGTGCTGCTTCCTAGCACAGTTAACCCCAAGGCCTCCCCGTCCCCGAGACCACTGCAACCAAAACAAGCGCACTGATCACAGCACCGTGGCTGCCGCCGCCCCAACTGTTGCAGCAGCTTCCCGGGTGGCAGCGACGGCGGCGAGGGCAGGGCAGGGCCCGGATCCGGACGCTCCCCGCCAAGGAGTCTGGCAGGCTCCGGGCGGCCTTCGAGGGGCGCGCGGTGCAGGGGAGCCCCTGCGGCAGCCGCCTGGGATGAGAGGCGGCGCTCTCAGCCCGGACCCCGCGCACAGCCAGCCCGGCCGCGGCAGCGGCGCCGGCGGAGGCTGCCCGCGTCCGCCCGCCTCTCACCTTTAAGATCAGGTCAGTGTGATGCTGGTCCAGCATGTTGGCTTTCTGGAAGGAGGTGACGATGACCCGGCCGTAGCGCCCGGGGGTCTGCAGGTCCGAGTAGAGCCGGTGCTTGGAGCGGTTGACCGGGAAGAGGCTGTCGACGAGGTTGCGCTCGATCTTGGCGAGGCTGTGCTGAGGCGCCAGCAGGTGCTCCACGCTCTCCTCGACCTGGTAGCGGCTGAAGCTGGCGCCGAGCAGGATGGAGATGAGCACGGGCGCCGAGGCGAAGAAGACTGGGTGACTGGCAATGAAGTGGCCGAGCCGGGAGAAACACGTCCTCAAGCCCCTGTGCAGAACCTGCCGCAGCATCCTAGAGCAGAGCGGGCGCGGGAGGAGGGCGAGGCGCACGCTCGGCGCGGGCTCGGGCGGCGGCGGCGGCGGCGGCGGCG